TCAGTAACCGTGGAAGGAGTCGGCCAGTCCCTGATTGCCGCAATCTTGCCGTCATCCACCCGAATACCCGCCGACGAGACAACAAAACCCAGAAAAAGAACCGAGTCCGCAAAAAAGACACACTTGTGTGGTGCAACATAAAATGACTCCGCCCGAAGAATAAGAAACACCTCCCTCACGTGGCTCAAATGATCCTCCAAAGTACGACTATAAATAAGTATGTCATCAAAATAAACGACAACACACTTACCGATAAGATCCCGCAGTGCCTGGTTCATGACCCGCATAAAGGTGCTCAGAGCATTAGAAAGGCCAAATGGCATAACCAACCACTCGAAGAGACCCTCCCGAATTTTAAAGGCTGTCTTCCATTCATCACCCGGACGAATACGTATTTGATGATAACCACTCCGGAGATCAAGCTTGGTGAAGATGGTCGCACCATGTAACTGGTCCAGCAGGTCGTCCAACCGAGGAATCGGGAAGCGATAGCGTACCGTAATTTTATTGATGGCACGGCTGTCCACACACATGCGCCAAGAGCTATCTTTCTTGGGAATCAACAATGTCGGGACCAGTGTTTAAAAAACCGTACCGTACCGGCCGGTAATACCGGTATTACCGGTTACCGGCCTTAGGTACGGTACAAAAACACACAAAATACCGGATTTACGGTAATACCGTTTTGTACCGGTATTGTACCGTAAATACCGGGAAAAACCGGTCCAAAATACCGGCCATGAAAAAAAAATAAAAAAAAAATTAAAAATATTTTTTTTTTAATTTAAAAACATAAAATTTAAATTGGTAGTTAGAATGTTTTATTTTATTTCATTGGTAAGTTAAAATTAATGATTATGATCATTTATTTTTTATTTTTTTTGTATTTGGTATTATATATTTTTATAAATAAATATATATATTATTATATTTGCTAGTCCGGTAATACCACCGATATTACCGGTCGTACCGGTAATACCGCGTACCGGTGGGTAGACCGGTATGGCCACCGGTACGGTATTTAAAACACTGGTCGGGACAGCACACGGGCTAAGGCTGCGGCGAACCAAGCCCTTCTGCAAAAGCTCCTCGACCTTCCTGCGCAACTCCTCGTGCTCGGCAGGACTCATACGGTAATGCGGTCGATTAGGCAGGACTGCCCCCGGCACCAAATCAATGTGGTGCTGAATATCGCGCAAAGGTGGTAGCCCGACAGGCAAAGCAGAAGGAAAGACATCCGCGAACTCATCCAATAAAGGCTGAAGGGCTGTCGGTGTAGGAAGGTCCACGGAAGACTCGGTAAGCAAAAGCAAGAAGACCATCGGGGTTTCACGCATTTCCGCCTGAAAAGCCGAGCGTGAAAGAAACAAAACCGGAGAAACTGTCGACGGAGGTAAAGGGCGAGGTGGAGCTGCCTGCAAGACCATCTTAACACCCTCAAAAGTGAACGAGTAGGTGTTAAGACGACCATCATAAAGAACCGACCTGTCGAAGAGCCAGGGACGCCCCAACAACAAGTGACAGACATCCATTGGAACCACGTCGCACCAAATCTGGTCCTGTAAGATACCCCGATAGAAAAAGAGACCAGGACACGACGGTTAACGGTCACCCCACTACCACGGTTGATCCAAGCCAAAGTGTAAGGGCGAGGGTGTGGCTCCGTGGACAAACGAAGCTTGGATACGGCCTCCTCTGCCAGAACGTTCTCACACGAGCCGGAATCAACGATAAACCGGCACACACGCTCACCAATAGTGCAAGTCGACTCAAAAAGTTGGTGTCGTTGACTAGAAGAGTCGGAGTCGACGTGTGGCGAGAGACACGAGCGCCGGAGAACAAGACAAGTGCCGACGTCTCCATTGTGAACCTCAATAGCCTCCAAAGGATCCGTATCAAATACCGGTGGACCCTCATATGTAAACTGGTCATCATGGTCCCCGCCACCCTCAACGAACAGTTGTCGGCCACCCACTGAACGACGACACTCAGACTGGCGATGGCCCACCTCCCCACACGAAAAACAACGAGGACCACCACCCGGACGAGGACCCACCTGCACCCCCGCCGCGCCGGAAGAGCTACCCGTAGCCTGAGTACCCGCACGGCTGCCCCCCGGACCAATAGATGTCCCCGGGCCGACAGCTGATTTTCCCGGGCCGGTTGGTGCAGTAGTAAACCTGTTCGTCGAAGAGAAAGTCGAAGCGGCCCGTCGTGCCAATTGCTGTTCGGCCATGACAGCACGTTGGTGAGCCTCCGAGAGAGTAACGGACATGAACAAATTAACGGAATCCTGGAGCGGAATACGGAGTAACATAACGAGAAATCAACTGCATAGTGGTTTCCCGGCTATCAATGCGAGTAAGTAATCTGTAAAACTCCTCAGTGTAATCATCAACTGAACGGTTACCTTGACGAAGTGTTTGGAATTTTTGGTACATAACACTATCATAATTAAACGGTAAAAATTCCTCCTCCATAAGCCTACGAAATTTACTCCAAGAAGTGATAGGAGATTTACCCAAACGATGTCGCCGTTGTTCGAGTTGAGTGCACCAAGCCGCAGCCCGACCACGCAAACGCGTCGCGGCCAGCTCTACCCGGCGATTTTCCGGCACCTGCTTGAACCGGAAAGCCCTCTCCACCGCAGCGACCCAATCGAGAAAGTCACCAGCGTCCAAGCCGCCCGAGAACTCCGGTAAGTCGACGCGAAATCCCGCCTCCCAGCGCGAGTCGTTGCCGTCCGCCTCGCGTCGCTGGCCA